TGCTGGGCTCCGGCGATCCTTCCACCTCAGCCTTCCAAGTAGCCGGAATTACAGGCATGCGCTACCACGCCCGGCTGATTTCGTGATTTATTGTAGAGATGAGGTCTCGCCAAGTTGCCCAGGCGGATCTCGAACCCGCGGGCTCAGACAATCCACTCACCTCAGCCTCCCAAAGCGTGAGATTACAGGCTGAGCCACCGAGCCCAGCTCAGTTTTGTGTTTCTTAAAATGTATAAATTTTATTGACACTCTATATGTGTGTGTGTGTATAAAATCTATACACATTTTAAATACGACATTCGAAAGATGGCATTAATCAAATGAATGCTAGCATCACCATAGGACAGGCAGGACAAAGAAAATGGCAGAAGCATGGTTGAGCACAAGTCATACTACACATGGCTACCATAATTTAATTCAACTTTGAAAAGTAATACATAGATAGCGTCTCTTAAAGTGTGTATACATTTTTTGGGCACCCCGTGTGTGTGTGTGTGTGTATGATTTTTTTTGAGACAGGGTCTCACTCTGTGGTCCAGGCTGAAGTACAGTGGCATGATCACAGCTCACTGCAGCCCTGACCTGCTGGGCTCAGGTGATCCTTGCACCTCAGCCTCCCGAATAGCTGGGACTATAGGCACACGCCACCACACCTGGGCTAATTTTTTTGATTTTTTTTTTTTTTTTGTAGAGACAAGTTCTTGCTGTGTGGCCCAGGCTGATCTCAAACTCCTGGGCTCAAGCAATCTTCCCACCTCGGTCACCCAGAATGCTAGGATTACAGGTGCCACACCCAGCCCCCTTCATATATTGAGCCAGTTTTTCCAACACCATCTACTAAAGAATCTGTCTGTTCCTCACGGAATTCTGGTGCCGCCTCTTCTATTTAGGAAGTTTCCATGCAAACCTAGGTCTGTCCCTGGGCACGCCGTCTGTTCCACTGGTTAACTCCAACTGTTCTTCCCCCAACACTACACCTTTTCTTTTCTTTTCAAGTCAGAGCCTCACTCTGTCATCCAGGCTGGAGTGCAGTGGCATACTCATGGCCACCGCAGCCTGGACTCAGGTGATCCTTCCGCCTCAGCCTTCCAAGTAACTGGAACTACAAGTGCACACAACCACACCTGGCTAATTTTTTTGATATTTTTTTTAATCATAGCGATAAGGTCTTGCCAAGTTGCCCAGGCTGGTCTCAAACTCCCGGACTCAAGAAATCCTCCAGCCTCGGTCTCCCAAAGTGCTAGGATCACAGGCATGAGCCACTGCACCCAGCAACAGTACCCTATTTCTATCATGATGGCACATTCAAATTAGAGGAGAGGGACCATTTACAAGGGGGTGATAGGATCCCCCAGGCTAGTAACAGCGAGGGAAGGATCATTGCTCCCTTTAAGGCCCAATAAGGATGAGTGGGGGAGGCAGTTGCTAACAAGGGATGATGGAAAAGCCTGAGGGAATGGCACTGTGGAGCTGTGCCCTTTCTTTGGGGGACATGGTGGTCCCTTGGGAAGGGCCCAGGAGGATAAACACCCTAATTTTTCTCTGGCTTCCATCTCCTGCAGGAGCTTCCCATTGGCAGACCCGACAGGAAGGAGAGGGTAAGGGAGACCAATCCATACAGGTCGTAGGACTCTAGACCTTGGACCCCAGGACTTTAGGAGGCCAGACCTCCCTGCTGAGATGTCCAGTGTGCGACCTCCATTTGTACTTGAGTCCTGGTCTCCACACATATTAGGGCCAGGCTTGCATACAGGTCAGCCTTCTGGAGGCCAAAGCAGGGGGGAAGAAGAGAGGCCAAGGAGACGTACAGTCCATCATGCATCTTCAAGTCTAGGGGAGCAGACCCTGAGAACTACTTTACATGCGGTTATCAGGGGAGGCTTCTTGGAGGAGGTGGTTTCTAGCTGTGACTTGAGTGCCAGGATTGTTGGCCCACCTCCTGCCATCTCCCCTGTCCAGATGGTGCTTCAAGAGGCAGCTCGTGGACCTGGTGATGGAAGGCATATGGCAGGAACTGCTGGACAGTGCCCAGATTGAGATCTGTGTGGCCGACTGGTGAGTGGAGTGACACCTGCCTGGGCACCAGTGGGGCTGTGGCAGGGGCATTTCGAGGCAGCCCTGATACTGTGCACCCTGCAGTGAGGCTGGGAGAGGAGGCAATGCTCACAGTTGCCCAGCCAGGGAGGGGCGGAGCCTTGGGGAACCCAGAGCCCCCACCCACCTGCATTCCTCCGCACCCTGTTCCCAGCAGGCCCCAGGGTTGTCCACCTGGGGCCACTGACTGGCTTGGAACCCCTCTAAAACTAGTCACTTCCCATCACCCCAGCTCAGCACTGACCACTAAGGGCTTGTGGATGCCCAAGGCCTCCGAAGGGAGGGAGCACTGTGCCCTGTGACCTGAGGCTCAGGGGGGTACAGTGAGACAAGGATGCTGGCTAACTTCGGAGTCAACGAACCCCTACCTTCCCAGAGCACCCAGACTCCTCCACAGAGCATTTGAGCGCTGCCTTCAGGCCCTTGCTCCTTCCCAGAAAAGGCAGTCCCCTCCCTGGGACTCTGGCTCCTCCCCAAAGTCGCCAGGCTCCTCCCCTGGGCTGTGCCTCTTCCTCAGACCACCTTCCCTTGCCCGCTGCAGCTAGCCACCCAGGCTCTCCAGAACCCACCCCCGGCCACCCAGGCTCTGGCTCCACTCCAGACCAGCCAGTTCCTCCCAAGACCAACAGGGCTCCACCCCCACACCCAGGCTCCTCCTCCAGGATCTGGCTGCCCCGCCCCCAGAGGTCCGAAGGCAGGCGGGGACCTCTCCAAACGCCGCGCAGTTGGGCAGGGCCCTCACCCGGTGCAGGGAAGCCCCGCCCTCAGCGTCCCACTCCCAGCCCAGACGGCGCGGCTCGAGGCTCACTGCCACTCGACAGGTGGGGCGCCCGAGAGGGCTGCGGCTGCGTCTACCGGCTCCGAGTCCGCCTCCTGGACGTGTACGAAAACGAAGTGGTCAAGTTCTCCGCGTCGCCCAACCCGGTTCTTCAGTGGACTGAGCGGGCCTGCCGAAAGGTGGGTCCAGGCTGTCTCCAAGGCGCACACACCAGCCTCACCTGTCGTTTTTGCTTCTCGGTCCATCGCAGCTGAGTACCTACAGTAATAACAGCTAACAGCCAGCGAGCCCTTATTAGGTCCCAGGCCCTATGCTAAGAGGACTACATATGAACCCATTTCATTAGCACAACAACCCAGTGTTCAACACACATTTACTGAGCACCTACTGTGTGCTGAGCACGGCTCTCAGTGCTGGGAATGCCCTACCTTCATTCTAGAATTGTGGAAACGGAGGCAGAGAGGTTAAGTGACTAGCCCAAAGTGATCCTAAGGTGTGCAGACAGCGATTGAAGCCCAGGTGGGCTCCCAAGCCCATAATGTCACAAACCTCACACTTGGGCAGTCCTCAGAGCAGCCATTTGGGTGGTCTCGATTTCGCTCTTGTCCTCCTCCCACCCACCCCCACACCTCCAACACACAATCACAGCATCCAGAAAGACTCCATTACAAAATGTGTCAGAGGCTGGGCGCAGTGGCTCATGCCCGTAATCCCAGCACTTTGGGAGGCCAGGGTGAGAGGATTGCTTGAGCCCAGGAGTTCAAGACCAGCCTAGGCAACATAGCAAGACCTCATCTCTACAAAAAACATTTTTGTTTTAGCCGAGCATGGTGGCTACCCAGGAGGGAAGACAGGAGGACCGCCTGCAGTTTGAGGCTGCGATGAGCTGTGCTTGTGCCACTATACTCCCATCTGGGTGACAGAGACCCCGACTCAGAAAGTGTTAGATGACAGCTCTCCCTGCTTGTAACCCTCCCATGGCTACATCCAGAGTTCCAGTCTGCAGCTGTAACGAAATGGAGCACTGACCCCTACTCCAACACGATGAACTCTGCAAACAGAGACCAGACACAGAAAGGCAAACCCTCTATGACTCCACATATATGGAATGTCCACCAAGCAGATCCCTGGTTGCCAGAGGCTGAGGGGAGGAGGAATTGGAAGTCACGGCTAAGGATACACGGTTTTTTCCTGGGGCGATGGAAATTTCCAGAATTAGACAGTGATGATGGTTGCATAGTCTTGTGATTATACTCAAAACCACTGGACTGGACATTTTTAACTGGTGAATTTCATATTATGTCAGTTTTTTTGTGATTCAGAGTCTCACTCTGTCACCCAGGCTGGAGTGCAGTGGCATGCTCACGGCCACCACAACTTCGACCTGCTAGGCTCAGGCGATCCTTCTGCCTCAGCCTTCTAAGTAGCTGGAACTACAGGCATGTACCACCACACCTGGCTAATTTTTTTTTTTAATTGTAGAGACGAGGCCTCATCAGGTTGTCCGGGCTGGTCTCGAACTCCTGGACTCAGGCAGTCCTCTTGCCTCGGCCTCCCAAAGTGCTGGGATTACAGGCTTGAGCTACTGCACCTGGCCCTATCAATTTTATCTCAATTAAAAGTTGCCCAGAGGCTGGGCTCGGTGGCTCAGCCTATATAATCTTAGCACTTTGGGAGGCCGAGGTCAGTGGATTGCCTGAGCCCACAGGTTCAAAACCAGCCCGGGCAACTTGGTGAGACCTCATTTATACAATAAATAAAAAATTAGCTGGACATGGTAACACACACCTATAGTTCCAGCTACTTGGGAGGCTGAGGCATAAGGATCACAGGAGCCCAGCAGGTCAATGCTGGGGTAGCCATGAGTATGCCATTGCACTCCAGCCCGGGAGACAGAGGGAGACCACCTCAAAAAAAATTGTCCAGAAAACCCAAGACCTCTTGTGGCCCGGCCCACAAGGCCCCTCACAATCTGCCTGTGACCGCCCTGACCCACCTCTCCCAAACTCTTCTCTCATCAGCTCCAGGCATCCTCCCACCCTGTTCCCTCAGTCTGGAACAATCTCCCTCCAGAGCCTCACACGGCCCCCTTCCCTCCTTCAGGTCTCGTCTCCGTGGGGCCTTTGCTAACTCGCTTTACTCACACATTCTGCCACCCTCCTGGCAGAATGCCCTTTGCTCCCTGCCCCCATCTGTCTTCAGGGCATGGCGCTCACTAGAAAGTCAGCTTCACCAGGACAGGGGCTTTCCGCTGCTTTCTCACTGCTGTATCCCCACCCACCAGAGCGGGGCCTGGCACCCCCCAGTCCTTCGGAGTATCTGTTGGGATGAAGGAAGCCGAGCCCATGGGCCTCACCCTCTCTTGCTCTCCATCTCCCTGCAGGTCTCCCACGTCTTCACCAACTTTGGCAAGGGCATCCGCTACGTATCTTTCGAGCAATACGGGAGAGACACGCGTTCCTGGGTGGGACACTACGGTGCCCTGGTGACCCACTCCAGCGTGAGGGTGAGGATCCGCAGGTCCTAGCGACCTGCCCGGTGGTGCCTTGAGGGAAGTACTGCCAGCTGCTGGAGTCATCAGCCAAGACCAGCTCTGCAGCCAGAAGCTAGAGGATGCCTGGGGATGGTGGTGGGGAGGGTCTCACGGGCCATTCCCAGCACACCTCCAGTGAACCCCGCTTGCTGGCTGCTTCAGCATAGTGGTCCTCATGCTGTGTGACAAATCAGGGATCCAACCAGACTGTTCACTGCTGCCTCAGGTGGGGGGTGGGGAGTATCAAAAAATAACTCAGAGATATTTCATTGGTTCACTTGCCTGCTGACTTTCTTCCACGTGGATGTCAGTGGGTAGACTCGGCCACAAAACGTGGGCCAAAGCAGGATGTGTAAGAGGAGAAACTCAATGGGGAGAGCAATGATTTGCTGACTTGTTTTGGGGGTGAGCTGATCGCTGGCAGTCAGCAGGGGCAATCAGGGGGGGCAGTCTGTCCTTGAGACCAACAGGGGCATTGGAGGACACCATTGCTATAGTTGGCGGAGTCTCTGGGATCCTGCCAGGGGCATCATTGCCTGCACTGCCTGTTGGCACCTCCTCTGTGGGCCAGGGCCCCACCTCACCTCCTGCCCCTGCTTTGGGGGCAGCTCACCTGCCAGGTAACTCCTCCTTTTCCCCACAGACCCCTGGAGCAAGGCTGCCATGAGAGAAAGCTCTCCTGACCCCACCCATGACCCCCCTCACCTCTCCATTTACCAGCTGGGTCTGGCCAAAAAGCTTGCTCAATAAAATCGGTGCTGAAGACAAAGTGCTGGGTGATTTTGACATGCACTTGTCTGCCTCCAGCTCTGATCCCAGGAGACCTGTGCTCTTATGTTTACAATCATGAGAACTTCAGGGCCATTGCCTTGCTAAGCTATAGTGTGGCCATGTGCTCTTTGAGCTGTGGCTGTCGCCATGTTTCCTGGCTTTGGATCCCTCCCCTACCTTGGGGAGGTGAATCTCCTCTTTTTCTCTCTCTTCTAATTTAGTATTTAAATGAACTACTTCCTAATCTAAAACCAAAAAACATGAGAATTTCAGGAGGCTGCTGAGCACGTACAGGACATAGATGAGAGCTTCCAGCACCTCGGGCCAGCTATGCCCACCAAACGGCTCTGAGGCATGCACCATTATCGATGCCATTAAGTCCAGCCTCAGAGTTTAAATGACCTGCCCAAGGTCACCCAGCCAAGTAAGTGGGTGAGGCAGGGCTTGAACCACAGCTGGGCTCCACAACCCAATGGTATAAGCAGGTCCCATGTCTGAAAATCTAATGTGGCCAAGCACCTGATCATGAGTTCAAGAATTACAATAGGTGCCATTTTCCAGGGGAGGAAACTCCAGGCCCAGAGGGAGAACCAATATAGCTAGGTCACAGAGCAATTAAGAGATGGAGCCAGGATTTGAACCCAGATGTGTGTCAGTCTGGTAATATAAAGGAACAGCTCCCAGGTGAGGTGCGGTGGCTCATGCCTGTAATTCCAGCACTCTAGGAGGCCGAGGCAGGAGGATTGCCGGAGACCAGGAGTTTGAAACAAGCCTGGACAACACAGCAAGAACTCATCTCTACAAAAAACTCAAAATAAATTAGCCAAGCATGGTGGCATGCAACTATAGTACCAGCTACTCAGGAAGCAGAAGTGGAAGGATCACTTGAGCCCAGGAAGTTGAGGCTGCAGTGAATTGTGATCGTGCCACTGCACTCCAGTCTGGGTGACAAAGTGAGACCCCCAAAGCAAAAACAAAGCAAAACAAACAAAACAACCGAACCGACAGCTCCCCTGTATGGAGTAGCATATCCCTTCAACTTCAGTGTTATAATTACTGCTATTTCCCAGACAGCCGGGCTTGAGGGTAGGGGTCTCAGCTGCCTGATTCCTAAGCCTAAAAGACGGGAGCCCTCCACGCATGTTATGCAGAGAGCATCTAAACTGCTCTTCGCCAAACTGAACAAAGGACATAACCACAAATGAACTATTTTCTGGGGGCGGAAATTGGAGCCCAGAGAGGCCATCATGGCGACACCGCACACAGGGCTTCACCCCGCAACCATGGGATGGATGTTTATTACAGCCCCTCCCCGCAGAGGGCAGTACAGAGTCCTGTCCCGGCAGAAGAGGTCTCAGGCCGACACTCACCACCGGAGCACAGAGGGTTGTCAGAAGGGCACCACCCCCACACACCCCACTCCTATGCGTGGTCCTGGGGGAAGAGGCGAGCCAGGATGTAAGCCCAGAAAGCTCAGCGGTGGCCGCCTGCAGCGCTGGGGTCCCCAGAGGAAGCTCTCCTGCGGTCACTTCTTCTGCACGTGGCCACAGTCGTACTTGCCGCGCACAACAGTGAGCTTGACCCCCGGCAGGTCCTGGGTGCGGCCGCCCTGCACAAGAACGACGTGGTGCTCCTGCAGGCTGTGGCCCTCCCCGGGGATGAAGCACACGGCCTCGCGGCCCGTGCTGAGCCGCACGCGGCAGCACTTGCGGTTGGCCGAGTTGGGCTTCTTGGGCTTGCGGATGAACGTGCGCAGGACCACGCCCTTCAGCTGCGGCCGCCCCTCCGTGGGGCCCAGCTTCGCGGGCCGCCGCTTCGGGGGCCCCAGGCGATGCATCTGGTTCAGGGTGGCCATGGTGCGGGCAGCCCAGAGCCGGGGAGCCAGGGCTAGGCCTGGAGAGACACAGGGAGGAGGACAGACAGCCGTGTCAGTAGCCACACTTTATAAGGATGCATCTCTTTATGTCCAGGAGTATTTACAGATGATAATAACAGCTAACGTTTATTGAGCAACTACCACGTGCCAGGCTTTTTTTTTTTTTTTTTTTTTTGGTTTTTTGAGTTGGAGTCTCACTGTCACCCAGGCTGAAGTGCAGTGGAGCATGGAGCAATCACAGCTCACTGCAGCCTCAAACTCCTGGGTTCAAGCAGTCCTCCTGCCTCAGCCTCCTGAGTAGCTGGGACTATAGGCCTGTGCCACCACGCTTGGCTAATTTTTTGATATGTAGTAGAGACCAGGTCTTGCTATGTTGCCCAGGCTGGTCTGGAACTCAGAGGCCCAAGTCAGCTTCCCACCTCCGCCTCCCAGAGTGCTGGGATTACAGGCACAGGTATGAGTCCCTACGCCTGATCCAGGTTCCCTTTTAAGCATTCCCAAGAATTAATTCATCTTATTCTTCAAGTAAGGCATTAATTTTAATGCCGTTTAAAAATAATAATGTGCATCTCTGTAAGCTCTGGTCCCCTCCCCAATCTGGGGGAGATGGATCCCCCTTCTCTCTCTCTCTCTCTAATCTACTTTCTAAATAAACCATAATCTCCAATCTAAATAATAATAACAATAATAACAATGTGCTAACACTGTGCCAATTACCATTCTATGCCTGGTAAATAATTTAACTCGGGTCACCCCACAGCAACACTGCAGGGTGTTCCCAGGAGGTGTCACCCCTCTGCTCCAACCTACACCCAACCTGTGAGCAGAACTGCCAGCTTGACCTTCAGCAATGAGCAGAACTGACTCCCTCTCTCCCTCCTCCACTACACCCACCTCAGTCGTGTCCATCCCTGGCTCCTGCTGGACTTTCCCGCCCTCGCCTCCCCATCTCCCTCCTCTCACAGTCTGTTCCCTGCATGGAGCCAGAGGGAGGCTGTGAACGCCTGAATCAGCTGGCATCCCTTTCCTGCTCAGAACCCTCCTGGGCCTCCTCTCACCCAGGGAAAACGATAAACTGCTCTCCTTGGCCTACGAGGCCCCACCTGATCTGCCCTTGGAACTTCCCTGATCTCAGCTCCCCACCCTTGCTCACCCAGTTCCGGCCTGAGTCCCCAGAAACACCAACAGAGAGACCAGTGTGGCTGCAGTGTGGTGAGAGGAAAGGCAAGTTAGGGACTGAGGGCTGGAGAGGGAGATCTATTTTCAAGGCCAGCAGGACCTGTTCATGATTGGATACAGGCTGCAAAAGAATCCATTCAGGCATGGTGGCTCACGCCTGTAATCCCTGCACTTTGGGAGGCCAAGGCAAAAGGACTTCCGAGTCCAAGGATTCAAGACCATCCTGGGCAACTCAGCAAGACCTCATCTCTACAACAAATCAAAAAATTAGCCAGGTGTGGTAGCGCATGCCTGTAGTTCCAGCTACTTGGAAGGCTGAGGCGGAAGGATCGCCTGAGCCCAGCAGGTTGAGGTTGAGGTTGAGGCTGTGGTGGCCATGAGTGTGCTGCTGCACTCAAGCCTGGGAGACAAAGTAAGAATCCAACTCAAAAAAAAAAGAGAGAGAGAATCCAGACAACTGGATTTACTCTACGAGTCACCAAGCACTTACTATGTCTCCAATAACGGAAATAGCAGTGACTGAGCGCCCTGGGCCTCACCCAAGCTCTTGGGCTCTCAGGTGACAATGTCTACCTTCTATCTACCCCTCTCGCTGGGTCACCAGCCCTTTCACTCAGATGCCCTCTCAGCACCGCAATTTCACACTCCCCTCCACACCATGGGCAGGCCTCGGCCTACTGTCTTATGTCCCATGTCTTCTTTTCTTATAGCAGAAACCTCCAAGGGGATGAGACATTCCTAGAAGTCTGTGTCCTTGAACAAGACTCAACTTCTCGGGGCCTCCGTTTCCTCCTCTGCATTACAGTACCAGGATCTGATCCCCTTCTGGGCACCACGTGTGTATGTGAGGCTACCATGAGATACCACATGTCAGTTCCCAAGGCAGGTAGCAGGCCTGTCTTGCCCACAGGTGATCCTTGGTGAATGGTAAACAGAAGGGGCTTAATAAAGGCTTGCAGGAGTGAACAAATGAATGAAATACTTCACACAGGGTATGGCTCATGGGAAGCACTTGATGTCTGAAGAAGGAATAAGAGCCTAAATAAAGCTGCCCTCCAGTGCCTGGCACACATTAGGTTCTTGAAAAATACTAGTTGGATAAGCCAGGTGCAGTGGCTCACACCTGTAATCTCAGCACTTTGAGAGGCGGAGGCAAGAGGATTGCCTGAGCCCAGGGCTCCGAGACCAGCCTGGGCAACTTGGTGAGAACTGATCTCTACAAGAAATCAAAAAATTAGCCGGGCGTGGCGGCGCACGCCTGTAGTTCCAGCAACTTCGAAGGCTGAGGCAGAAGGATCTCCTGAGCCCAGCAGATCCAGGCTGTGGTGGCCCTGATCGTGCCACTGGACTCCAGCCTGGGCGACAGAGTGAGACGCCGACTCGAACACAAAAAGAAAGAAAGAAAGAATGAATGAGAAATGGCAATTGCACGAATAAAACGCCTAGGTTGGACGTCTCACCCACGGGGGGTAATCACTAAGTACCTGCCGAAGAAGTAGCTGACCCCACTCCGCTTGGAGCACGGCAGCCCGCAACGAAGCCACTTTCGACCTCTTGCTCTTGCAGCTTGAGCTCCGCTAAAACCCTCCTCTGTATCCACCCGACTCCCTCGGGCTCCAGCAGCGGCACACAAGTCCCAGGGGAAAAAACCCTCGCCCAGGCTCGGCCCTGCCCAAGCCCCCCACTTACCACAAGTCAGGGACGTGTTGAGGCCACGGAGAAGGCCAGACCAGGACATCGTCCCTGTGTTCTGGTGTCTTACGAGTCTCAGAAAACGGGGCGGGGGGCGAACGGCCGTAGTCGAACGAGGGTCCAAATCCCCCCGTCCCGCTCTCAGGACCTTCTGTGCTAAATCTAAGGAAGATCCTCTACAGGTCTAGCCATGATCTCTTTACGCTAACAGGAAGTCCCTCCGTAAATTTAGCTCTGAGTAGATTCCCAAGGACCCAGCGGCCCTCGCCCGCACACAGGAGGAAAGGAAACCGAGAGGCCCGGGAAGGCTCGGAGGACCCAGGGACCCACCGACCTCACCGACCCCAGAGGCGGACACGCTGAGTCCTGCGTCCAGCCCCTTCCGGGGGCTATTGGGGCAGGGATTGGCCGGTTCTGCCTCCCGTCACTGAGGGGGCGGGACATAGACGACGATTGGACAACGACAGAATCCATCTCTGTGGCCTTTCCCCACTGAACCGCTTTTGAGGCCTAGGGAGGGCATACGTCTTCTACGATCTGATTGGCTACTTTGCGCATTGGTCTAACCGCGGAGAGGGCGGGACGAAGAGAGTACGTGCCTCCTTGTCTCCGGGCCAAGATGTCCGCGTCCGTGGCGCGGCGCTTGTGGCCTTTGCTGGCTCGCCGGGGACTCCGGTCCCGGGGAAACTGCATCTGCAGCCACCGCACAGGGAGAACTTTCGCTACAGAGAAACGAGAACGGAATCTCCTGTACGAGCACGCGCGCGAGGGTTACAGCGCTCTCCCTCAGCTGGACATGGAGCCGCTGTGCGCATGCCCAGAAGAGTTCGCGCGCACCCTGGAGCTCCGCAAGGGGGAGCTGCGGCCGGAAGACCTGCCCGCGATCGTGAGTGCGCTTGCGCGGCCCGGCTGGGCGCGGGCTGTTGGTTTTACGAAAAATCTAACCGGGTCTACCCGACGCGCTCCGGCAGGGGACGAACCTATCCGGGAATCTTAGTTCCGTCCCAGATTGAGCCAACTTTTTGTTCGTGGCCCCCACTTTCCGTGCCAGTTTCCACAAGCGCTAAGGCCCTATGATATACCAGTGATGCCTGCTGTGTCTTAGACACCCGTTAGGCGGCTGTCTCATAATGCTGCTGGGCGCCTTCTGTGCTCTAGGAACCTGCTATAAGCCATTGCCCCGTGCGCTCCCACCCGCCGCCTGGCTTACCCTACGGCCACGAAGAACAGTGGGGACCGGAGTTGAATCAGACAGGGACGGGCGTGGGGTACGGTGGAGCTCTGGCCTTCGGCGAGTGAGGAGTGGAGTTCCACCTCTACCACTCGTAGCAGGTTGTTAAACAGGGTTCGTGAATGAATGAATTTAATGAATGGTTCTGTCGAACTGATATTTCGGAAGCAGCTGCAATGTTCCAGTGTTCCAGGTGTTGCGAATACGCGGCGAATCATGATAAAATCGCTAGCACGTATATAATACCACGTAATGGAGAACTAGAACCAGGTTCCCACATCTCTCTAATGGAGTGCTGAAGATGGTGGGATCCCCAGGCCGTCCCAGCCCTCTCTCGGACTGCCCTACCCGCCTGTCCTAAGTACTTTATACGCATTAGCCTCATTTAATTTTCGCAACAACCATATGAAGTAGGTGCCATTGTTTCCCTCCTCACAGGAGAAATTAAGGCCCAGAGAGGTTAATGAACTCGCCCTAGATCATGCAGCTGGTAAATGGCAGAGCTTTCTGGCTCCAGAATCCACCGTCTTAGCTACTTCATTATGCTCACTCATGAGCAAGATGATCTCAGTTCACAGTTTAGTAAAAGAGACATATATTTGTTATACAATTATAAATATATGGGGGGGGGCCCCAAAAAACCGGAATTTATTTGCAAAAAATGGTTTACTTATTCTTACATGCTTAAATTTGTCACCTTCAAAGTAGTCTGTGTTTGGTGCAGTACACCTATAGAGATGCCTTTTCTATTGATCAAAACAGTTTTTGAACTCATCAGTTTGGATGCCCTTCAGTGCTTCTGCCATTTTTTTCTTTTTTGTTTCTTCCACATGGGCAAAAATCCTTTGAGAATTTTTTTTCATCAGGGAGACAGAAAAATAGTCACTCGGGGCAAGGTCGGGTGAATAGGGAGGATGGGGCATGGGTGTCATGCTATTGGGGTCAAAAACTGCTGAACACTCAGCACGGTGTCCTGAGTGTGGGCAGGTGCACTCGTAAATCACCCATCGTGAAAAGGGCAAATACGTTGAAAGAATCTAAAAAAAAAAATTCACTGAAGCCAAACACAGCCTCCGACAACAATGCTAGCTGGTACACTGATGCTGGTAGATTCTTAGAACACTTAGCTAGCAGGGAAAGCCTGTACTACAAGGGGCCTGTCCTCCAACTCGTATACTAGTTATAATCTCTGATAAATGCTGGGAAAGTAAGGTAGAGAATAACCTGGGAAGGCTTCTCAGAGGAGGTGGCATTAGGCAAAGATCTGCAGATTGAGTGAGAGTTACCCTGAGAAGAGGGGAGAAGAGTATCCCAAGTGGAGGGACCAGAATATGCAAAAGGCTAGAGGTAGGATGGAATATTCCATCTGATGGACATGTAGTTATTTTAGAGTGGCACACCCTTTCATAGAGTTTTTCAACTTTGTGGCCAAGAATAGGAAATACATTTCACATCCTGACCCAGTACACACGCCCAAAATTGAAACCAAAGTTTCATGAACAATTATTGCTTTTACGGTGTATTCTTACTTTAAACTTATATTCTCTTTCATTTTTTAAAGTTCTGGCTTAGGCCTGTAATCCTAGTATTTTGGGAGGCCGAGACAGGAGGATCACTTGAGCCCAGAAGTTCTTGGCCAGCCTGGACAACATAGTGAGATCTTGTCTCAATTTTAAAAAGTCAAAAAACTAGCCAAGTGTGGTAGCATGCACCTATAGTCCCAACTACTCAGGAGGCTGAGGCAGAAGGAACACCTGAGAGCAGGAGGTTGAAGCTGTGGTGAACTGTGATTGTGCCACTGCACTCCAACGTGGATGACAGAGTGAAACCCCAACTCAAATAATAAATAAATAATAAAGTCCTGGGGCGGAAGGATCGCCGGAGCCCAGCAGGTCGAGGCTGCGGTGGCCGGGAGCAGCCACTGCACTCCAGTCTGGGTGACAGAGTGAGACTCCAACTCAAAAAAAAAATAAAAAAATAAAGCCCTAGTTAGACCACCATTAGGGTGGCTATTATAAAAAAAAAACAAAACAGAGGTGGGGTGCAGTGACTCAGCCTGTAATCCCAGCACTTTGGGAGGCCTAGGGGAGAGGATTGCCTTAACCCATGGGTTCGAGACCAGCCTGGGCAACTTGGCAAGACCTCATCCCTATAATAAATAATAAAAAAAAAAAACTAGCCATGTATGGTGGTTCATGCCTGTAGTTCCAGCTACTTGGAAGGCTGAGGCAGAAGGATCACCTGAGCCCAGCGGGTCCAGGCTGCAGTGACTGTATGAGCGTGCCATTGCACTCCAGCCTGGGTGACCAAGTAAGATGCCAACTCAGAAAAAAATTCTGTTGTTTACAAGCCACCCTGTCTATGGTGTACTGCTTCACAGCCTGAATAGACTAAGACAAGGTTCTAAAACTAATTCCGGATCTCCATACTAGCACTTTTAAAAGTTGTGATAAAATGCACATAATATAAAATTCACCTCTTTAGCCATTTTTGAGTGTACAGTTCAGTGGCACTAAGTACATTGGTATGCTACCCTCCCCACCATCCATCTCTAGAACCTTTGCACTTTCCACAATGGAACCTCTGTACCCATTAAACACTAACTCTCCTCCTCCCTGGCGACCACCATGCTGCTTTCTGGCTCTCAGGATCTGACTCCAGGTACCTCGTGTAAATGGGATCATATACCATTTGTTCAGGTCTGGCTTGTTTCACTTAGCGTAATGCCCTCAAACTTCATCTACATTGTAGCATATTTCAGAATTGCATTACTTTCTAAAGCCGAATAATATTCTATTGTATGTATACACTACATTTTGTTTTCCCATTCATCTATCGATGGACACTTGTGTTGTTTCTATCTGTTAGCTAGTGTCAATGCTGCTGTGAGCATGAGTATACAAATATAAACACAAAAAAACAAAAACAAATGACTTGTTCAAGTCCCTGATTTCAGTTCTTTTGGAATATATCTTCAAGTGGTATTGCTGGATCATATGGAAATTTTTTTTAATTTTTTTTTTTTTTTTTTTGAGTTGGAGTCTCACTCCGTCGCCGAGACGAGTGCAGCGGCCGCTCCCGGCCACCGCAGCCTCGACCTGCTGGGCTCCGGCGATCCTTCCGCCTCAGCCTTCCAAGCAGCTGGAATGACAGGCGCACGCCACCATGCCCGGCTAATTTTTGATTTATTGTAGAGATGAGGTCTCACCAAGTTGCCCGGGCGGGTCTCGAACCCGCGGGCTCAGCTATTTAATTTTTAAAGAACTGCCACATTGCATTCCATGGTGGCTGCACCATTTTACATTCCCATCAGCAAGGCACAAGGATTCCAATTTCTCCACAACACAATTCTTGCCAATACTTGTTATTTTCTGGGCTTTGTTTTGTTGTTTTCTTGAGTTGGATTCTCACCCTGTTGCCCAGGCTGGAGTGCAGTGGCACATTCACAGCCACTGCAGCCTCGATTTCCTGGGATCAGGTGATCCTCCCACCTCAGCCTTCTGGAACTGTAAGTAGCTGGAACTGCAAGTGTGTGCTGCCAGGCCCAGCTAATTTTGTGATTTATTGTAGAGACAAGGTCTTGCAATGTTGCCCAGGTTGGTCTTGAACTGTGGGCTCAGGCAATCCTCTCGCTTCCACCTCCCAAAGTGCTGGGATTACAGCATTTTTAAAATTTTAATAGAGATGAAGTCTTGCTATGTTGCCCAAGCTGGTCTCAAACTCCTGGCTCAAGCAGTCCTCCTGCCTTGGCCTCCCAAAGTGCTGGGATTACAGGCTTGAGCCACTGCATCCAGCTTCAGAAATTTATTTCCCACAGTTCTGGAGGCTGGAAGTCCAAGATAAGGCACAGGCAGCTTTGATGTCTGGGGAGGGTGGCTTCCTGGTTCACAGATGCCATCTCCTCACTGTATCCTCACATGGTGAAGGGGAAAGGGAGCTCCCTGGGGTTTCTTTTACAATGGCACTAATCCCATTCTCCAGGGCTCCACCCTCATGTTGTAATCACTTCCCAAAAGCTCCACCTTCTCATACCATCACCTTGGGGGTGAGGATTTGCAGGGGACGCA